AGGAATGCCAGCATATTTCTGCATTGCACCAGTATATCTACAAGTCATAATGGTGTGGGGTTTCATTGGTGACCTAAGCAGTTTACAGATTAGATTTGGGACTGTACAGTAATACATTCATTTTTCTCCTGTGTCCTCCAACAGTTTGTTGTCAAATTGCTTTTGAAGGTTTCTTTAATTCTTCAAGCTGTAACTGAGAAAAACTGGCACTGGTGTCTAGCTGTACATTTCAGTGTACTGTAAAGGCTGTATGTACATTTTTCTGTGATTGGTGCACATATCTACTAAATGATGAGTACGCTTACTGGTCACATATTCTTCCTCCATGGCAGTTTAATTTTGGACCTGTTAGTTTTACCTCTCTATTGACTTGTATGGGACTTATGTTTGGTGTATGGGAGCCAGTTTGGTGTAGTGGTTAAGTGTGCGGACTCTAACCTGGGAGAACCGGGTTTGATTCCCCACTCCTCCACTTGTACCGGCTGATGTGACCTTGGGTCAGTCACAAGCTCTGGCACAGCTGTCCTTGAAAAAGAGCAGTTGGTGTCAGAGTTCTCTCAGCCCCACCCACCTCACAGGGTGTCTGTTGTGGGGAGCCGCTCTGAGACTCCAAGTGAAGGGCGGGGTATAAATCCAATCTCTTCTACTTCTTATATGAAATTACCTTTACAGAAATAGGATGTAAGAAGACATTAATAGAAGTGTTTCCCTCCACCTTAACTTCTCCCTTGCAGGGAGAGCAGTATAAAAGTCAAATAAATACATAAATAAATGTTTGTGTTAGTTAGGGTTGCCAAATCAAAATTGGCTGGGAGCGGGGGGGCTCCAGGCTGGGGTCCTCTTTGTCCATGTCACCCGAAAGTGACATCACACGCTGGGGGCGGAGCCATGCCATTTGAGGGGAAAACAAAGAGTTTTCCCCTCAAATGGCGTGGCTCCGTCCCCAGCGTCCGACGTCACTTCCGGGTGATGCGGACACGGGGGTGGGGTTTCCCCCGGGCCCCGATTCCGCGGGAGCGGGAATCGGGGCTCAAAACCAGGGGGAATTCCGCCCCCCGGGGGCATTTGGCAGCCCTAGTGTTAGTGGCTATTGAGTGGCTAACAGTCAAAGTAAATTTTACTTTTCCATGATTTTGCCACTGTACTGTAGTGCAGCCACAAGTACCCATGACAACTCATGTAAAAACTACAGATGGGCCCAATTCTGATCAGGATGGCTGTGTGGGAGAGGAAGGTCTCCTGTCTCTCCCCCTATGGTCTCTCTCCCCCTATGATTTTTGGCAGCTGAAGTGATGTGGGGGCTGTGGGGGTGGAGCAAATAACAACAGCCAGAACCAATGTGGGGGAGGAGAGGCAGGAACCCTCCTCCCCCTATGCAGCCATCCTGATCAGAATTGGGGCCATCTTTACTTTTTACACCTGAGTTGCCATGAGGACTTGAAGCTGCAGTATGGCTGTAAGTCTCAATGGCGAGCTTGTGAAAAAAAGTACCATCTACTTTGGCTCTTATAAGGGTATAATTCTTTTTGAGATTGCATTGTAAGTTACACAGTCTTTTAATTAGGAGGAAGACCAGGCATGCTCCTGGAGGAGGTAGGGTATGTCATTAATTTCTAACATGGATACCTGCCTGATGTCTTGCAAACTATGAAACAATGAACAAACAGAATCATATCCTTGCTTTACTGGTATGGCCTCTAAATATTAGTTATGTTTGTTTGAGAGTAGTGTCTTGGTAGCATTAAAAGGAGATTTGCTTCCTTTCCTGTTCAGAAGTTATCGACTCAACATGTAGCACATCTAAAATCAATACAGCAGCATTTTCCTATGGGCAAAAAGAGCAGCCTAAACAAATGAAATTAATTTTATCTGATTCCCTGCTAAGGCCAATGAGCACATGACATGGCCCCTTGTTGAGTTACTAACCTGAGGATCTCAGTTCCAGGGATGGCTGCTAGTTTTCTTAAGAATGCATTTTAACTACTTTTACAAAGTTGGGGGAGGGGAATAAAGAAATAAGTAATTTATGAATAGCTTTCATTTTGTGTATTTTATTTCTTTTCTAGGATGAATGAAAGATACTTACAAAAAACAACAAAAGGAAAACTGCTAATAATAATATTTGTTGTAACATTGTGGGGGAAAATAGCATCTGGGGCAAACCATCACAAAGGTAAGAAGTGGTATTACTTTGCACTGTATGGCACTGATGTGAAATCCATCCGCAGGTGCTTTAAGACAAGGCTTATCTAGCTTTCAGCAATCATGTAGTATTTCTTTGTTGGCTTCTCATGGTTGGTTAGTGCAGAAATCAATATTGGCAAAATTTTCTATAAGTTATGTTACTTCACTTTCTTATGATTATTGCTGAAGAAACCTTACACCCAAATTGCTTAATGAATTTCTGTTTTATCACCATATTTTCTGTTTTGTTATCCGGAGATGGTAAACTTGAAAAATTGAGTAGGCATATAATAAAGTTACTTCTCTCGTGAAAACTGATTCATCAAATGGTGCATAGAAGTGCTATAGATGAGTTCATGAAATGAGCCTTGTAAAAAACAGTCTTCAGGAACATATGTGGTTCTGTAGCATTCCAATTATCTATGCAGATAAATTTTGGAGGGGGGGGGGACAGAGAGAAACTGTATCTGCCCTAAATAATCTTGGCTATTTCCCCAGTAAAAGAAAGATCTTTCTTCTTTAAAGTTCTACAGAAACAGTTCTTGTCCCTTGACGGTAATCTGTCACTACAAGAATTATGTTTAAAGTCAGATAGTTTCTAGCAGTTTGGAAAAAGCTGTCTTTGTTCTACTTTTATGGCCAAGAACCCTACTCCTGAGAATAGCACCCCTTCATTTATATATAAATGGGAGACAGCTTTCTGGTATGACTCTAATCAAAATCATTGTACAATGCTAGCTGTAGTTTTTGCTGTTCAAAGTAGTTTACAGTTTAGCCCTCATTCTATGATAGTGTATAGTCTCAGATTCTGTCAAATTTTGATTGCATAAACCACAGTAGTTTAAATACCACTGCAAATTAAATATGGTTTAGATATGACATTGCAGATAAAAGGGCATAATGGAGAAAGGGAGAAAGATTTTGGAAGACTAAGTAATAGTAATTGCACCTCTGTAATTTAAAGTATGTTTTATAATGTTAGCACTGAGATGGCCAAAAACAGAAAATGGCTTTAGGCCTCTGGAAAACTCCCTTTTAAAAATTTCATATGCAAGATGTTTTCCTAATGATTTAAATATTGTTTAATACTTAGGTTCAACCCTATGAGGCAAGATCTGAATACAAATAAAACAAAACTTACATGTTTTGATCTGATCTAGATGTTTCCTTCTGAAATGCAGTTAGACTTTTCCACTGATTCTCACCTTGACCATGATCCAGAAAGCCACAAAGAATCTTATGAAAGCTGCTTTGAATACTGCCTTCTGTGGATCATGTCCTTTTATGTATCGTTTTGATATTTTAAAAAAGTGTGGCTGCCATAGACTGCATGAATCTGTGTAACAAGTAAGTTATAAGCAAGTTTACTGAGGTTTTTTAAACTGGTCCTAAAACAGCTGTTTTAACTAAAGCCTGACGTGCAGCAATTTTCCAGGTGGAGGTTTTCCTATCTCTCTAATGCTGTATCAGGAAAAGCCTCACTTATTTTTTTGTGTATCAGGAAGTATTTTTTATTTGAACATATATGTTGTTTGAGCCATAGTTGCAAAGCCAATAAAAGTTGGCAGTACAGGATAACCTTATGTCCCTGCATGTCAATTATTGTCTTGTAGCTGCCACCTTCTGGCTGTCCCCAAAGCCTTAGCCAAAAAAATTGGGGGGGGGGACATGGGGGGCAGGAGCAGCCACTCCTCTTGCTCTTGAGGAGTTCCTGGTTCTGCTTGATCCAGCAAGAAGGAAAAGGAGGCTCCTGAGGGGCCTCTGAAAGTGGCTCCACAGCTCGGAGGGGAGGAAAGTCTCGGTGTCATGGGGAGAGCCCAGGCAGGAGGGGCAGCCAGGAGAGGCATTTGTCTTTTCCATGGGAAGGCAGCAGAGGGAGGCAGCCATGGAGGAGCCCCCAGTGGAGTCCCTGGTGCCAGTGAGCGCTCCAGGCTCCCCAGAGTCATTGGGTTGGGGCTGATCCCATTGTCTGGAGATAGGCAGCAGGAGGAGGAGGCAAGGAAAGTTGCTTAGGGGAGGCAGAGCCTGGTGGGCAAGTGGGAAAGGAAGAGATGGGTGGCAGAGAGAGAAGCAAGGCCCAGCTGCCTTCCACCCACTTTGTGCTCCCATGCCAGGGGCGCAGCACCATGGAGCCCAAGTACAACTTCTAGAGGAAGCTGGGGCCTCATGACCTGTGCCAGCTGCATGACACTGGCCTTGCCTCATTTGGTCACCACCCCCACTCATGCGTCCCAAGCTCGCCCATTCCCCTGCCTGCCTTCATCCACACCAAGATGAGTGTGGTGCCATGCTCCCCTCCTCCTGCTCCAGGCTCTTGCATGGGCAGGGCAGGCCATTTACCATGTGGACACGATCAGCGTGTGCCCAGCCAAGCTCACACGCTGCCCTGCCTGCCTCTATTCACACCAGAACAAGTGTCACTGCATTCCCCTCCTCTCATCCTCTTGCTTGGAATGAGTGCGGCCATGATCCCCAGGCTCCTCCCAGGATGGGGGCAGGTCTGGCATCCTCCAGCACTGGGGTGGTAGTCATGCATGAGGGGGTGTCACCCTGCCCCACTGTGGCTATGGGCCTGGCTGTCCCCCATTTAAGGATGTCTGCCTGGTAACTACCAGAGCCCATTCTTTTTCAATAGTAGTTCTCACTTTATTGAATGGTTTTGCTGAGGTTAAGCAAGTGAGCATGTGTGCTGTCCTTAGAAATTTTTATGAGGTTCTATAAGGCTGTTTTATTTGTTAGGGTTTTTAATAGGGTTTGAACTGCAGGTATTTTCTTGGAAGTTATTCAAGTCTTCTTTTATAATGGAGTAGTATTTATTGTATCTTTGGTATAGTAATTTCAGATAGGTTCACATCCTGCTGCAGTATGTATTTGACTACTTTACTAATTTGTACCCTGCATCCTGGCTTGAATCCATAAAGATGGATATTAACATATAGTAGGATGCAGAAGCAAGCTTGTCACACAAACTCCTATCATGTGTAGAACCTTCAGTGTGCATCAGGGCCCATGTAAGTAGAGTCCCATCCATACAATCTGTTTTCTGATTCTAATTCATTATACCCTGGTTCATATGGTGTTATGGGCAGTGGAAAAGGGTACATGAGCCCATCATGTATGTCAACCAGATCTTCTTCAGACAGGGATCATATCAGTTTTTCATGACTATGAGATCATGGCCAGACCATAATACACATATCCTGAGTGGTATGGTTGCTGTTCTGCCTCCATAGTGGCCCTTAATACTAGTTGAGATCTATATAAATATTTCCAACCACATGCTGTCTTCAACAGCATCTTTATCACGTTATGAAATTATGCCATTGCTACATAATTATATCTTTTAAAAGCTGTATGTGCACTTTAGATTGTTTAGAAATCTGGTCATGATTTTAGAATTTGGGGGCTTTCATTTTTGAATGTCAACTTTCTAGAATAGATGGATCATTCAATCATATATACGAATCAGCAATTTTAATTTCTTTGTTATTCCGTTTGGTAGAATTAACCTTTCCCTTGATCTTGGCTTGCTCACAGACTTTTAAAAAATGCTTGGATTTAAAAAGCTGGAATCTTGGTTTCTCAACTGATTATTTTCCTGAAGATTAAGCAAGCGCATATGCTGTAATGTAGAACTATTCTCCCCTCAATCCTGTCATTCTTGTATATCACTGACAACTAACTCAATGCCCTGACCTAATGGGATCTGATTGTCAGCAGATTTATGCATGAACTGAATGGAACCTCCAAGACAAGGTTGTAAAATGATCTAGTATATTACACTATATCATAAAATCTCCTTTCTCTCTTCCTATCCAGCAGCCTGCAATAAGGACAACCTCTCTTCTCATACACATTTGTCTTTCACCTCCCTCACAGGTTACAGGACTTTCCTGTAGAACTAGATAAAAGACAACATCTTCTGTTGTTGTTTCTCTTGAAAATGTCTAATAAAATCTCAGTGTGTGAAATGATGTAATGTACCCCTGAAAGAAGTCAGTGAAGAGGAGCTCAGAAATTCAGTGCATTGACATCATTTCACATCTTAAGATTGACCAGATATTATGGGAGCACAAATGAAGACTGCTCTTTTGGCTAAGGCATCATAATCACCATCACCATTGTCATGTATTATGTATGCAGCACCTATTATTATACTACATTCCCGGTCACATGGGAGGATTTGATCCGCAAGAGGGACGGATCAGGGGCGCATCAAGCAGGCGCAATCACACCACAACATCTGGGAAGTGGCGCGCACCCGTCCTCAATCCGTCCCTTAGGCCCACAAATGTGGATCAAAAAGGTACTAGCAAAACAGCAGTACCTACGGAATGATGCGGACCAACAGAAGGCATCTGGTTGGGGAAGCGCTGGTAGGCCATCACAACCGGGACCGTTACCCATCCCACACATGCGCACAACCGCGCTACTACTGGTTTGCTACGCACCGTGTGATCGGCTGCCGGGGCACGGAGCACGGAGCTGTGGGGGCATGTTGGATTGCACTCCCGCGGTTCTTTTTGCTCTGGATCTGATTTGCCTCCCTTCAGCGGTGGATCATCCGGCTCGTGTGACTGGGACCTATGTATCATAAAAAATTAAAAGATATTACTACTTGAAGGCTTACAGCCAAGTAGCCAATCAAGTCCTTTCTCTCTCTCTCTATCCTCTGGTCCTGGGCAGTAAATAATCAAGAATTTAATTTCTTATTCCACAGAAGGGAATATTCCATGGAAGGTTTCCTCTAGGAAGTGGAAGATAATCTAGTGATGCATGGAAGGTTTCCTCTAGGAAGTGGAAGATAATCTAGTGATGCATTGACTTCTCATAGGCAAGACACACCCATAATTCATTTAAAAGTAGAGTTGTATGATAGCCCATAGGCTGTTCACTGCCTCTATGTGTGTTGATTCAGGTGGGTAGCCGTGTTGGTCTGAAGCAGAATGACAAAGTTTGAGTCCAGTGGCACCTTTAAAACTAACAAAG